TTCGCGTTTTCTTCCAGATCATAATAAGAACAGTCAAGAGGCCGCTGGAGCAGCCCCTTAACTGCAGCAGTCACCAAGAGCCTTTGTTGCTTCGTTCTTCTCTGTCCCCCAACCTATTAACATCTCTACTGCCTCCATTCCCTCATCCACTCTCCTGTTGTTGGTACCTAAACGCCAATAAACAACTGAAGAGCATTGGCTCCTCAGGAATCCCCAAATTGAAGATGCAATACAACACCAAAACAAACAAAATCAGGTAAAACGAAGAGTACAATCTCTTTCTCTCTATGTATTTTTGTGGGAATCTTTTGGGAATCACTTCTCTGGCTCTTCAAATGGGGTTTATTTCGTCTCTTCAAATCACTTCTCTTTGAGAGTGGAGGCACACATCAGAACATCAGGTGAACAGATTTAGTAAATAGGTTTGCTTGTCTATTTCTAGCTCCTTTTCATGGAAATCGAATATATGTACTTTTCTCCTTACGTTTTCTGGATGAACCCGATTTGTTTTTTTTTTTACCCAACTCAAAACAGAGAGAAAGGAGAAGATCCTGAGAGAAATTAGTTTCATTAAGTTTGTAGAGAGAATATGGAGATGCGGGCAAGAAAGGGTGTGACCTGAAGATCTGAGATTGAAGAAGATGATGGTGGTACGTGTTCTTGGGATGTGTAGAGAGAGAGAGAGGGAGAGATTTATTTTTATTTTTTATTTTTTTTATTCTTCTAAATCTGAAAATCAAAAAAATAAATAAGAGAGAAAGGGATTTATTTTATTTTTATTTTTTATTTTTATTTATTTAAATCTGAAAATTAAAAAAAAAAAAAAAAAGGAAAAAAATCATATTAACATGGACAAATTCGTCATTTTGAAAAAACTTAAAATAGATTGGACCAAACAAGCAACAAAATGAAAATTTTGAACCTACGGTGCTAGTCAAAACATTTTTGAACAAAAGTGACAATTTTAAGTAAACTACAAGACCATTTGTGCAGTTTAGTTTAAAGAAAATGGAAGTGATTGAAAAAATACGTGAGTTTTTTTTAGATAAAAGGGCCACATCTTGCAAACCTTTATTGAAAAACCAGATATTTTACATAGTTTTACATCCTATACTTTTTTTTGGATAATACCCGTGTGTGTGTATATATATATATATATATATATATATATACTTACCAAAGTAACCAACATCTACAAGGTACCAAAATAAGGATCAAACAAAAATTCTACAAAATAACCAACTCAAATACAAAACAAATCGCAAACAGATGCTCCGTTATAAGCCCATTAGGGACATTAGCCCATGTAAAGTCCTATTTATTACCTTCTCTCCTTTTCGTTTCTCAGCCCAGACGACTGTCTCCCCATTTCTTTTTTCCATGCCCATAATATCATTCATCAGCCAACACAATTAAAATCCAACATTCTTTCACACCATTAGAATCGATTGAAAAGATATAATTCCATTTTACAAACGATTTCAGCCAATGGATAAAGATATCTTCGATCCACCAAAGAAAATGGCATGAAAAAGTTTCTCGGCCCAAAACTCATTCTAGCCCATAGACTCCAAATTAAAACCTTGAGATAAAGGTTATTATCTTTCGTTTCCTCTTCGTCGGTCCAGTCATTGATCCTTTTACTCCCAAATCCATCCAACACATCACCATAATATGTTTGTGTTAATAGCACTTTGTAGCTTAATTTGCCACAATGAGAATGACTAGAAACAAGTAGAAAATAAAGAACGATACAATGATATCCGTGAAAACCATTTTAAGAAAAATCACAATACACACGACAAGTTTTATCATAATCGATGAAAGGAGAAGTAGATTAAAAGAGACGGGAAAATTAATTTTCTTATGATGATTTGATAGCAAACTATAATTACATGTATAGAGAAAACTAATGGACTTCTAATGCTTAATTTATAACTACCAAATCAAAATTTTAGACAATTTTTTGCTAAAAAATATTACTGGGAATCTGGCAACGGCACAATAGATTTCATTTTTTTTATACGAAAGCTGTAAAGCCAATACATGACTATCAATTCTAATATAACCTCTCTTATCTTAAAGATAGAAAAAGATAAAATAAAAAACCAAGTCACTACTTGTCATTACTTGTATGAGAAAATATGTAGATATCATTATTGAAAATTTTATAGTTTTTTTTTTATGTATTTTAAAATCGATTAGTAGGTCTTATGAACTCTTCAATTATAATGATAATGTTTGACCTAAATGATAGTACCAAACCAGACTCCTATGGTGTGAATGGAAATTGAAAACCAGTAATCAAGAAGGTCAAAGCAGTATCTGCAGTCGTAAACATGAACTTATTCGATACATATCAAATTAGAGTAACATTGCCAAAACTATGAGATAGGGCGAAAAAATCGATTGGTAAGGCTTATGAACTCTTCGATTATAATGGCAACAATCAAGAAACAACTTTAATCATGACAATGTACTTTGAGGATAAGAGATGCCGACTATCACCATAATAATCGATGGGGAAGGGGAAGATGTAACGCCCGTAGATCCGAGCTAGTCAATTTAGAGATAATAAGGATCGAAACCAACTTTTCGACAAAAGATTATTTAACCTGAGAGCGTCCATAAAAAACGTCCAAATCTGAATTCGTATGAGGAAGTTATGATTTTTCTAAGATTTGGCTTAGTGGTGCACGGCCCGAAACTTGAATTTTAGTTCGAGCGGTTTTTGGCTTATGCGACCTAAATGAGAGTCGAAGATCTCATTAATAGGAACTCAACGGTAAAAAGACAGACGAAAACGGAGTCTGTATGAAGGAGTTACAAATTTTTCGCGGTCATTTAACAGTTTAATTTTCTCGTACTGTTAAATTTAAGACCGGCCGGGAATTAGTCGACAGAATCAAAATGAAAGTTGTAGATCTTATTTTACATACGCGTGGATATAAAGAATATCAAAAACGGAGCTCGTATGTGAAAGTTGCAGATTTTAGAAGTCAGAAGTGTATTGTGCGAAAATGGGTGACGTGACACGATCTTGACCATTACTTTCTCCCTAAGTCTTGTCACCAAATGGTGACATGTGGACCAAGTTCAGCCATATTTCACCCTATAAATAGAACATCTTTCACCCTCATTTTCTTCACACATTTCTCATTCTTTCTTCTCTTTACTTTCTCTCTCTAACTTCTCTCTAGCCTCCTTAAACCCCTCCTAAGTCTAGGGAACCCCCTAGCACGAGAAGGAAACCCCGGAGATAGCTCCGAGAAGAAGAGCTTTCGGCTCGAAAACACTGCTCCAGCAAAGCCCCCTTTTTTTTTTAATAAAAATCCGTTGTAAGTGAGTTACGCCTACACTATTTCTAATATAGCTTTTATTTAACATATAGTAATGTTATTAGGATCTTATAATAATTATTTGGGCTATTATTATAATTTATATAAGTCTCGTTATAATATCTTTTTAACCACTCGCAGTACTGGAAATCTGGTTTAAAGTGTCGCATAGGGTTGTTGAATTTTAGAAGTGATATATGCCAAAATGGTCATACCCTCCGGTGTTTTATGTATGGCTCCTGTCTGTACATAGTGGTTGCAAAATATTATTTAAACGCTTAAAATAATAATAATAATAATAATAATAATAATAATAATAATAATAATAATAATAATAATAATGCCAAGACTAATAATTAGTCATGGTAAATATTAGACTAAAATCTAGTGGTAATAATACTAGGTTTCATCGAAGGAAATTATATTTTTAAGAAGCGAAGCACTGTCCGAGTTTGGAATCATCACTTTAACAAGTCAATGCATAGTTACTTTCATCTTACACATAGATATGAAGTATTTTATATAAATTACGTGTCATGTGTGCATATTATCTGGATATTTGCTGTCTATGATGGATGAATGATTTGATACATGTTTTAAATGATTTAAACTATATATTTATTTTATATATACAAATATGTTGGGATAAAACATGGATAGATGAAATAATTGATATGTGATGAAATAAAATGATGAGAGATAGGTGATGATAATTAGGTGAGGATAGATAGGTGATGATGAATATGTGATGTAGGATTATTATAACCTTGTCCGCCATTTGGAGATGTAGTCATCTACCAGAGTATAGATGGCGACCACGGACTATTATAGACAACCCCGTGGAAACATCAGCAGACTCATAACATGTAGGTGATGAATTACGAGTTCGGGCGATATTGTAACTACGTATTCATGTGATGATACTCTGACCCCTTACTATAAATTACGAGTTCAGGTCATGTTGTAACTACATATTCATGCGATGATACCATAACCCTTGTTGGGCACGTATTGAGGGAGTAATCCCTAAATCAATATTGCTTATGCGATGAAGGCGATGATCCTTAGGGAGAGTCCTTAGGAACAAACATATAAGGAAATGCGATGTAAGGAGATGAGAGGTAAATATGATGTAGGAAACGACCCTTAGGATAAATCTTTAGGGAAGGTACTTAGGAATAAAGAAGATGATGGGGATGGGTAATTGGGTTAATTGTTTGATGATTAAACATAAGAATTATATTGTTATGGGTTGAAAACCCTATGTACTCACCAGGTTTCCCAACCTAACCCACTCAGTTTACTTGTATCACAGAAGATTTCGGTAAGGACAACAAATCAATCATGACCACAACTGAACAACTACAGAAATAGCAATGAACTTTGATGGAAATACACCACATTGATTTGTAAGGAGGTTTATGTGAATTATCTATTTCACCAACAAACACCATTGATATTCTTGTCATTGGAAATTTGGAATGCACCACATCAAAAATTTGTAGGAAGGGTATTTATGTGAGTCCACTATTTCACGAACACCATTGGTATTCTTGTTATTTTTCTTTCACTCTTCTCACTCACAATAGTTCAAGGATCAAATCCCACAAGAAAAATAAACATAGTTCAAGGGAATGCTCAAATGTCGACGAGGATGTGAAGATGAAAGAGATGAATGCTAGTAACGATGACAAGGAGAATGGGGTTTCAAATAAGGTTTCCAAAGATTCTTTAGTTTCAGGAGGAAAAAGGAAACTTGGTAAGTATCTGTCTGATGTTCATGGGAATGGCAATCTGCCTGAGGAGTATGTGACGCCTACAAAGCGGCGGAAAGAAAAGAATAATGGCGGGGATGAGAAAGTTGAGGTTGCAAACTTAGATGATAAGAATTCGAATTCGAAGTCGAAGGAGTTCTTAAGAGTTTTTGGTGAGTCGAAAAACAATAGTAGCGGGAAGCATGATGTTTACAGTGCAAATGTTGATGAAAGTAAGAGCGGCAGTCAGTCTAAAGATGATAAAGAACCAAAGGATAAGGATCGTGGGTTAGAAATGGAAAGGAAAATATTAGTATATCAAAATCAACTATGTTGTTCTTGATATGGTTACTAATTAATAAACTAGTTGAAAAGATAGAACTATTTACATAATTACATTATCTCTTCTTATAATGGCCTATAGAAGGAGTGACAGACATTGAGTTAGAAAAGGAGCTTGAAAAGAGGATGAGGAGAAAAGGAGAAGGCTACAAGAACAAGGATAGATATCATGATGATGTAAAGAAGATAATGAGATATTGATGTCTACTAATAGTAGTCGTGTGAAAGATATTAAACACAAAGATAAAGGACATAGTACAGAGAAACTAGACACATGGAAGATAAAAAAATAAGGAAATGGTGAGAGGGTTAGCAATAGTAGAAAGGATGATAAGTACAAAGGAGAAAGGGAGAAAGATAAACACAGAGATGATAAATACCATGAAGATAGTAGAAAGGATAATAAGTATCATGTTGATAGAGATGAGAAACAGAGAGATAAGAAGTATAAAGAAAGTGGTGGTAGGCTTCAAAGGAATGGGGACAACAAGTATAGAGAAAAAAGAACAAGTGATCCCAAACATACAGATGTAGACACATGGTTTGCTAACACAAACCATTAGAAACACTAAGTGGTACATAGTGATCAAGTCTTCCCATGACATTAGACCCTACTGCTTAGCAATGAACTTTAGGTTTCGAGGATTGAATTTTGCATATATAAAAAAGCAAAGTTCGTATACGCCGAATGTTATTTTGGAAACAAAAACAACCAAAACGAAAAGAAAAATAATGAAAAACTAAATATTTGGTAATAACAGAAAAACAAAGGTAAATCCGAAAAACTGCAAAATCAAATAATATTACAATTATATTTTCAAAAACGAGATCAAAGTTTAATGGTTTATATGAATATTTAGGATTTTATAAATGTCATACCATCACCAATGGCAAATATAACCTCTTAATAAGATATAGCAAGTCCATTATTTTTCTTAGAAAAGACAATAGTTTCAAAAAACATAAAATAACATAACGATTTTCTGGTCTATGACAAAAAGAAAATAGCAACTTTTTGTAATTTTCCCTAGAAACAATCTTAAATATTACTAAAAGAGAAACTTTATGACATCATCTTAAATAATCTGAACCATTGATTGTACTTCAATCTTATTTTTTCCACCCTTAGATCAAATTGCTGACATCATTTTCCCCATATGGAATGTATTTAATTCCAATAAATGCTTTCCAATCATCAATCAATAACTTACATTCGTTGAAATTGAATGTATTTAATTCCAATAAAAGCTTTCCATATTTTACATCTTGAATTTTCAGTTATGAAGATTTTAATATGATCAATTTTAAAAATATATTACTAACAAATCATTTCAATCAAGGTCTTAATATCAACCATTAATATAAATCCGTTTATATTAGTAAACCAGTAATATAAAATCTTTTTTATTAGGAAATCATTAATACCGAAAAATCATATTCAAATTATCACATACATATACGATTCATCATTGAATCCGCGACTCACATTTATTTTCAATCGTTTCTTTTCTTCAAACATTCTCCTACAACATCGTTAATATTGCTTATAGCTTCCATCATCATTCTCTGCTATCAACATTCACTCTTGTGCGCTAGAAGGTCAGTACCTTCTTTCGCTTTTTATATTTTTTTCGATCATTTTTTGTTCCTATATCAAATGTATGTATTCATATATTTTGATTTTCTTTGTCACAAATTACATAAAATCAATTAACTACTTTTCTGAAACTTTTCAAATAAACATGAAAAGGTATTAGGTACCTTTAACAAAACAAAAATTAACTATCCTGGGAACTGACATTAATTACGAAAATGTTACTTTTATATATTAGAGATGATTATGATTTTTTTTTTTTAATTTTTATGTCATAAAAATCCGGTTAATTTTGGCATGATTTTAAAATATCATTGAAATTATTATGTTTTTATATATCATATCAACCTACTTTTTTTTTTTTTTTATCTTCGTATAGTAACTATAAAATTTATTAATTTACACAAAAAATATAAATATTTCAAATTTTGTAATATTATTATATCTTACAAAATACAACTCCTTCCAAAATATATTTTCGTCAGTAATTTCATCCATAATTTCAACAAATTTAAATTTGTATTTTCTTTATATATATATTTTTTTTAATGATCCTGATTTTTTTTCTCCAAAAGTATATCAAACATTTACGTTTTAGATAATGTTGTCCTATTATAATTATTATTTTCCAAAAATATATCCGTTTAATGAGGAATTTGATATAATAAAGGAAGTGAATGTTAATTAAAATGAGATATATATTCCATAATTATTACATGAATTTATTAAAAAAATTAATATCAATGTGTAAATATTAAACATTTTTAAAGTGAAATTTCAGAATACATACAAACGATAATGTTGTATAATGAAATATAAAATTGAATAGACTGAAAAAAAACACTATTAAAGCAGTCAATCTTGAAAATAACATAGTTATGAAAAATTATAAAGTAGGATTGAAATTATAAGATATTAGGAGATTTGTAAAAAGTACATTTAGTAAAAACGTTACGGTTATTAGAAAAAATAAGACTGTTAAGATTAGTGAAAATACAATATATAAACTAAATTATCATAATAGTAATGAAATGTCATTATTTGATATTTCATATAATTGACAGATATATCAAATTAAATTGATATACTAAAATTATTCAAAGTTGCACCAAAACTAATGCAAAATTTTTGCGAATATTAAATAAATAAGAACAAACATAAAAGCTAGCATTTATATTTATAATCAATTTAAAATAAACCAATCATGATTTAGAAAAGAATCTCCATTGATGATATACTAAAATTAAATCTATATAACATTTAACATTTTATAAATTATATTACATAACTTTATTTGAATAAATAAAATAGTTGTTAATATTTAATGCAATAGAAAAAAACGGTATATTGATTGTCAATATATGTTTAAATTAGGTAACATTATTATGCAATGAACGTCTAATTATATTGATTGTCAATATATGTTTAAATTAGGTAACATTATTATGCAATGAACGTCTAATTAAAATGCTTATAAATATATAAATATCATAACTATATAAGACGAGGAAAATCGTTCAACTAATAAAACAAAAAATAATGTCTACAAAGAGATCTTTCAATGATTATATATATTTATCGTTTTCAATGTATTTTCTACATATTTCAATAATACCAATAACCATATATTTTTTTTATAATCATTATACAATATCTACAAACGATTATATGTTTTTTATGCGTTTCCCGCGTTTAACGCGGGCTATAATCTAGTTATCAAACATAGTGAAGATCAATAATTATGCAATCGACATCTTTTCCCCTCAAACAAAAATACTATTTTTCAATTTACACTACATTTACTGTATGACTAAAATGGGGCTGCTCTATTTCCCTATCAAACCTACAAAATAAAAAATAATATCAACAAATTGTACTAAAAAGGAATGTATTCGGTGCATCTATTAAACATGTGTGTCAATGATTTAAACATCTTGCATAAGACGATCTATATATGTCTTAGCTCATTCATGATATATGTCTCATAATTAACCCGAATAATCACTTGGCAAAGGTTTGTTATATACGGTTTCAATGGGGGCTTGTAAGAAAATGACCAAAGTGGTTTCCTTATAATCTTCAACATCTTGAGCTAACTTGGAAAGCGCGGGAGGGATAGTTATATCAATCTCCGAGATGCTCTCGACACAGTCTCTCAATGTAATTTCTCCTGTACGCAAGTAATATTCAATCGCATCTTTATTATCCTCGTCAACTGCTTCTATCAGACCGGTTAAGTAACTGGCAACATCAGTTACCTTTTGTTGACACGTCTTCAAGATCTTTGCTCTCGATGGGGAATTGGTGTTGCGGATCACGGAGGTGACGATAGGCAGGAGGTGTACGGAATTTCTTTTGTTGAGAACAAGAGTTGCTCGAAACGCGTTTTTCAATGCTTGGTGATAATTTGTTGCATTGTGCACTAATCTATTGCATAGAGGCTTCAATCTTGCAAATTCACAAAATTTACTATTTGGAGTTGTTGCATGGCTCATCACCACCATCATGGCAATCGTTGTTGCCATAATGTAAATGTATTTACCCATTTTGGTCAAACAACGTCTAATCTAATGAAAAGGATGAATCAAGATGAAGAAATTAAACTAACATATTTTTCTTCTTCCTTGTTTCAATCAATCCCGAAATAGTTTCCCTTACATTCCATATAAATAAATTATGTAACAATTAACATCCGTTAATTTTATCCCATAATTTCTCTCATTACCACTAATTCCATGGCTAAATCCATGGTTCTCGTTAATTGTACATGTTATTCAAAAGATGATTCATGTTAACAGGGACAAATATCAGCCACAAATTCCAATCCTTGGAAATTTAAAGATTTATTAAAACAAATTGTTATTTATAAAATTTTTAATTTATTTATTATTATTTTATAATTTATTACTAAACCAGGGATTTGTTTTGTGGTCATGATGATTTTATCTTATACTTTTATTATGCTTTAGGTTGGAGGGAGTGGTGTCAATGAAACCGCACTCCCTCCCCCGTCACATAAACATCATATCACTTTTTACAACTCAAGTGTGGTTTCTTACCACACTTTTCATTTCTTTTATTTTTTTGTTTTTCTTTTTGTTAACTATTTTAATTTAATAAAACTTATTTTTTTAATAAAAAAAACATAATTTTAAAAAGATAATATTTCATTAATTAAAAATACAAATACCACACATTACTTAATTTAAAAAAAACAACCTAAAAATTTAGAAAAACTAAATAGAAACATAAAACCTACAACTTAAAAAAAAAAAAACACACACACACACATGAAACGATTAAAAACTTGAAAAAAAAACTAGAAATTAGCCACGATTGATGTAACGGTTTTCACTTCCTCATTCATTGCCAAAACCACTTCAAGCTCGACCCCGTCATATTCGACGTGTCCATCGCTAGTATTTGCATGTCGCTCTCCCTTTGTTTCTAAAGCTCTCTTTTAGAAGCAATTTTCAAAATCTTGTCCATTATGTCTTTTATACCCCTCATGTTGGATCCCATTTCTTTCAAATCATCTGAATCCGACACTTTGCCTTTGCCTTTGCTTTTTGATTTGTCTCTTCCCAATGGTCGGGAAGGTGGTGAAACTGGAACATGTTCATCTTCGTTCACATCAAATTGAACACGAGCATCTAATGCAGTGTGGTCGGACTCAGATGTTCTGTTGTGTTTTGACCCACTGTCGATATACTGGTGAGATGTTTTGCTACTTAGCCATTTCCTGTTATCTTTCAAAAAATTCCAAACTTCAATAAACTTGAAAGCCTTCAGATTTTCTTTTTGATACACTTTCAATGCTTTCTTCAAAATGACTTCATCGCTTTCTCCACTTTTCCATTGACGTTTCATATTGTTCCACAAGTCATTAAACAACATGACTTCCTTGTTCATCTTCCCCCATTTGGAGTACACTTGATGTTTTGAACGGTATTCTCCACAGTTCATTCC